CATATACCAAATTCGATCAGCACATTAACACTCCCAATCCTTAGCGAAAAGAAGCAAGCAACGGTGGAAGGAATTAATCGGTCAAACGACTGGCTCACTCCATCAGAGAATCTGTCAGAAAAGAAAATCACATATGACTATTTTAGAAGAAATTTAAAGTTGTCTGCGACAAGAAATATCTGAACAGGATCAACTGTCCGTGATAACGCTTACGTCTTTTATAAGTGTCCACCATACTCGCGTATCTTCCACATAAAGGATTTTGTTTGGCTAGTAATATTTACTGATCTCAGGTAAGCATTCTTCATACTATCTCAATAGTTAATAACTTGCTCCCGCTAGACGGAGGTATATCAGAACAAGTAGGTTACACACCCAACGGGTTTGGAGCAGATAGCTCTCTGGCTTAGGTAGTAAATTGAAATAAACCTTCTCGCCTCGGTCTAAGTTTCGAACTGGTTATACTAACCATTTTGTCAACCAAATTTAGAAGCTACCTACTGAGTAAATCACCTAGAAGTGAGCTAAAAACCGAGCCGTAATACTGCTGCAGTACAGCGCTGAGTATCAGTTCAAAAAGAATATAATAAATGTTCTCCCTGAAAGTTTCTGACCGTTAGCACGTCGGTCTCCTTTACGCTTTCATGGTTCAGAAACGAAGTATGGAATCTTTTATGGTCGAATCTACAACTATATGGCTAACATTGTGTGTATTCTCCTATTGCTTCTTCTTTTACACAGTCATTTTTTTACAGATCCATAAAGTAAAGGAAGGAAAATTTGTAACCACTGGAAAGTCTGTCTTATACTTTTCGTAATGGGGCCATTTCTGGCGCCCTTCTTTTCGTGAAGTTAACTGTGAGGCGCTGATCTCCATTTCCATGTTATCAGCCAGGATGTCGCATTTTTTAAAGACAGGTTCGACAGCAAATATGTGGTAAGCACAGCGGGTAGTCTCATATTTCTTTTTTTACAGCGTAGTATTCATTTATAAATTTATAAACATTGGAAGAAAGAAAAGCGAATGTTCTGACCAGAGTTCAGACTCTGGGCCTCTCGGTTCCAAGTCCGATGTTCTGTCGACCGAACAAACCTGGTCAAGCTCACTGAAGACGCGAAAGAACAATGGACGGCAATAATGATCAAACAGTAATATATCGGAGGATGCGAAACTGACGATGAGCACAGATGTGAAGAAACTCACATGATCACTTCGGCATGTCATCCGTTGCTAAACCCAATTGGGCAATATAAGCTGCTTCATCTTTTCACTGCAGTAACTCTGGTCCTCAGCATTTAGCGAGTTAACTTACTATGAACTTCTTCGGCGTACATTTTCACCGCGCACTGCAACAGTTGCATCTGACCATGTTACGGAAAAACAACTGTTTCATCGTCCTGTTCCGATTTAGTATTTCGGTTGACGGAACAACCGTGTCATAAAATTTTGCAAGCGTTCATTGTCTTTCGACAGAATGTACATAACACCCAAAATCTGATACAAAGTTCGTCGACGCGTTTACGCAAATGTCACTGTGAGCATTCCTCAGGTCTTCTACGGGTTGGATGAACAACAGATAGCATTGCTGCAGCAACCCTTTCCAGCGGCGTCCGTAAAACGTTCTCAAACAATCTCAGGGATGGCTCTGTTTGGACAGTTCCTCTAGTCGCCGAACTTCTTCGAGTTCTGTCCTCAAGAGAAGATGAAACAATTCTTTTCATAAGAGAGTCTATCTCAGATGCTTATACTCGCGATCATGCTCTCATTCGGTCATTAGCAATGATTCATAGGTAAGAACCAGAATGAGATCCAATTTTAAGGCACAGAGCTTCATCTTAAGACTTAGCCCTGCCTTTGTTACGATAGCTCCGCAGTTCAAGCGAGATCCCGCTTGCGGCCCCAATCCACTGGCTATATTGACGAAATTTCAGCAACTTTCAGAGCACACAGCACCTTCTTAACGTTTGATCTCACCAGTAAGTCGACCCGACCGCACAAGTGCATAGAAACAACTGAAACCGCATCGAAACGCAGCCTTTGACAAGCTGTAATAAAAGATGCAAGGGTCGTCCTTTTCAGTTATCTCCAGTGATGATGCCGTCCAATCATAGTTATACTGGAGGATCGTCCTTGTTTCCAGTGTTTTTGGAAATTATAGGAAAATCCGGGTTGAGAAAGCGGTAGTTCTTTCATCAAAATTCCGCCTGGGATGAGGTCAGTGCTGTTGTAGGGCAAGGAGAAAGCTGTTTTAAAGAAGGAGCAAGAATGGCGGCTGAACTGCGTACAGTAGCGTTCGTTCAGACGCATAACGACGGTTAATCACCTAAGGCTGTTTTAGGCACAGATAGCCTCAGTAGATGTGGAGATTAAGAAAACAAACTTCGTTCTGCTAGACAAACTGGTTTAGTAGAAATCATTAATTCAAACCCATGGGGTTCTCGCGTGCGAAGGTAGAGGACAGAAGAAGGAGGAAGAAGACAGAGGTAGATGTATTTTCGGAGAGGAAAGTTTCCTTTTACGACACAGTAACCGGAACCTTATCATTAAAGTGTTGAAAAGCTGCGGATACAAAGGGCATCATAAACCAGTGACGTTCTGCTTATACACACGGCTCAAGTTGATGATCACACAAACACAATGAGAAAGGTACCCAGGAATGTTCTGATAAGAGTTCTGAGTTTGCACTCCGTTGCCAACGGAATTCTCCGACGTCTGCGACAGCGATTCGTCGCTACAGCTACTGCGTTTCGGAGGTCGGGACGATGGCACCGCCGGCGTCGAGATAGTTTGGGCGTTGATCGGCACGTTGATTCGAGAGCTGGCGTCCTTGTACATCGTCTAAATGACAGACGGGCTCAAATTTCATGACCTACAATGAATATCGTACTGTTACGTTCCACACTCTCTGCTAAAAACTCCATTTCAGCAAACAGCAACACGTATATTTTAGCGTTTGCAATGTATCTTGGCAAATGACCCTGCTTTGTCGGTTATAAGTGACCTGTTTGTCGTTGCCAATCACATTTCAGTAACCAGTAGTCGTCTCACGATTTACCAGCAAAATGAAAAATTTACTTCGTAAGTTGTTAATATGTTAATAAACGTAACCGTGCCAAACTGAGGTACAATGTGTTATGATAAAGTGCAGTGTATAAGTACTAAGATTAATTTCGTGAAAGATCGTGGTTTTGAGCAAGGTACTGCTCAAATGCCCCCTGTATAACGACTCTGTTGTAATACAGCGCAAGGTGCGGTTTGGAAGGACTTCAGCGATTGGTAACAAATTTCATCATACGAACCCGTATTTTTGAACGTTTCTGTCATAGCAGATAAGTTGTATCGGCTTCGAATATCCTTCATGCCGACCAGAAATAGCTCTAGCAAAAAACAGCGAAATGCATCTAGCACTGCGGTGCTCAAATACAGTTAAGCTGTTGCCTGCCTGAATGTCCCCCAAGGCTTCTAAAAGCAAGAGTACCGTAATACAAAATGAAGTCTGGTTGTACAGCAAGTAAACGCTTGTCGGTGTATTTTTATGCAAGGGCGCATGTTTCTTAAATCCACGTTGCAAAATGCTTAATGTTAAAGGTATATTAAATTGCCCATAATAAATACAGCTATTTTCCCTCTGCTTGTTTTGATTCTCACCATGAACAGTGTCAATGCAGTTCAAAGCGTCAGTGACAGGTTTTCCTACTATTTTGTGTGCCCGCAACCATGAAATCAGAAAACCTTACCATTTATGGAACTTTTCTCCGGGTACTGAACTGGCAAAGCAAACAAAATAACTAACATCGGTGTGACTGATATCTGAGAGCAAAACAGCAACATGTTAGTTTTCAATGCCGCTGGGAAGAATGAAAACCTCATCACCCTTGTCGCGGATTCACACGGCGTAGTCGCACAGTTTCCGTTTAAACAAGCCACGGCTCGACGGTAATTTAGCATTTACACTAAATGAATCAAAAAC